CATCAAGATCATGTTAATTTTCGCTAACAACACTTTTCTTTCTTGCTCCTTTCTCATTTATATTATAGATTTACCACTATAATTAGTTAACTTCTGATTTTTGGATTGCTCATTTGTATTATTAACTTGTTGAGTCATAGATGCAAACATATCAGAAGAACTCATTCACCTACTACACTAACCTTATGAGCAAAAACAATTCAAAATTAAAGATATAGCAAGTTGGATCACAATGTCAATTGGCAATAAGAAGAACATGTTTTGTCTAACGTATTTCGCATTTTATGGCAATGCTGGAAAGTAAAGAGTATTTTTTTGCAAGGTGCAAAGCTGATATGGGAAGTAAAGAATACATCATGGATATCATCATCTCGCAATGCGTGCAAAAGCGTAAATAAAGGCAGAGAGATACACTATTTGATGTTTTGAGGCAAAGAAAAGTCAACTGATTGCCATTTTCTTGAATCAATATCAGACGGAGAGATGAAAACAACAGCCACTTGCAAGTAGCCACTTGTGTGAAGCAACAATTTTTTTTTTTTTTGTCCAGGGATAGACTTGATGCTACATTTCATCTGCAAAACAATTGAATGATCATGCTAAATGTGAAAACAAGCCAGATTATGTTATTTGTTAGTCTGAATCCAATTTAGCCTGCTAGGAAAGCATTCAAATACATCAGACAGAACCGGAAAATGGACAATGAATTACTCTCCTGCCTCGGCTGTTGTCCTCTTAATTAATTATAGCTAAATTTATTTTGGAAACCTTCTGATTGAGGGGAAGTGTGGTTCTCAGTAGAATATTTGGTTGAATTAATCTTTCAAACTACAAATGTTTCCCAAACATTTCTTATCATGTCCTCAACAACTTGATGGACACCATCAAAGCTACAAACCATGAGTTCATTTTGAATTTAATTTCAGGGCTGCATGCATGCACCATGCTTGCCTTTGAGCTTCTGGCTTTGAATGATCATCATCAGGGTTCTACTTTAATTAATTAGTCCTAATTAATGCAATTTAATTTTTGTCAGAGCACAACTTGTAGCATAAACAAATGATTGCTTGATTTAGTTTCAAGCCGTATTTCTCTTACCAATGGATATGCCTAACCTATAGCCCAAGGAAAAAATGCACAGACATGACTCATCCTTATCATTTTCCATCTATAAAAACAGAACTATTGAAGAAGATTAGCAAGCTTTGCAGCAAATTGTTCACGCACGCAGCCTTGGGTTGTATATTGAGGTTAGAAACCCGCTGGCAGCCATTTGCATCACTTAAAAACAAAAAAAAGAAAATGGTAGAGGCAGCTGACCTTTCTGAATGAGCCTCCTGCTCCCTGAATAGATATATATGCAGCGGCGCCGGAACTTCATGCAAATCAAGTTTTGCTTATCACATTCATAACAATATTTGCCAATTTTTTTTATAACAATTTTATCAGATGTTTTTTGGTCAACACTTTATGATGTCGGATTTGCCTACTTTTATTTATTTTTGTGATACTTTGTGATCTCACGTTGAAAATAAAAGCAGTGAAATTCATATTAATATTGTGCTAATTTGATTAACTGTAGTTTTAATTCTCTGCAGGTTTCGATTATGACTGCAATTGTGGATATTTTAAGCGAAGGGGACTGCAAATTTGCAATACCCCATTTCATATCAAATTGGAATATTCCTTGTGATAACTCATATTAATGGTTTAATTAGTTAACACTTCAAATTTTCATTATGATAGTGACTAAAATATACAAATATGTATGAACTTAATTGCATTCACATGCCTATTTCCATGTATATTAATTATATTCGGACCATTCTGTTAATCTAAAATAATGTTGACCAACAAACTTTAATATATAATTCTTTTGAAATAAATTAAGTGATAATTTCATTGACTATCCAAAGGTAAAACCATCAGACTCAATAATGAGTTTTAATCTTTTGTTTGATATATTTTTTCATAATTTTATATCACATATCTAAGTACTAATGCATATCATCTAATAGTGAAAGATTATAATTTGCTAAAACATGTGCTGCCTCGTTGCCTACCAAAGCCTTGCATTTTGTTGCTCCCATCTGCTAGCATGAGAATTTTTTTGTTTTTGTTTTTTTGCTCAGTAGCATAGGGCTAAATAGAAAGCTTTGACAACTGCCGTAGCTTCCATAATACAAGCTTGAAAGGACTAAATTAATCCAGCTAGCAGCCCCACCTACTAGTTTTCATATTAGGCTTGCAGTCATAGTGTAAATGTTCCCTGAAAGCAAAACTCTGATTAAAATATAGAATCTGAGGTTATATGATTACTTTTATCGTACTAGATTAAAGTTATTAAAGTTAATTTAACTAAGATTCTAAGATTCATGTCCAGCCCAGTTTTGCCTATAAGAGTCCTGTACGGATGCGCAAAAGCTTATATGTTAAAGTCAAAAAGGCGCTCCTTAGTTTAATTTTTTTAATTTTTTAATAATTTATGTTGCTAACAAACCAAAAAAACAGTGTTAAAATGGAGGTATCAGATTAGTTAATTAATCAATGTAATTTGGTGCAAAATATTTGACCAGTGAGAACGGATGGATCATGCAGAGCTTTCGGCACCTTACAACTTATTTAAAGGATTCATTAATATAGGAGGAAGTTAACCGGCCTAGCCAGACCAAGACAATTGTCCTTCCCTCTGGTCGGTTTCCTAGAAACTCACCGGGAAAAGGATCTCAATGTCTACTTTCCTTTACAAATGAGTCCGACATAAATAGATAGATAGACAGTTAATGAGAACAGGAACTTACTTAAACAACCTTGTATTCACCTAAAAAAGTTGCCCAGATATACAAGTTTGGAACACAAAGTCAACAGCGGCAAGTAAACGTAAAGAGAACGCCAAATTAAAGAAAGGGAAAGCTCATGGGAATCAAGGTAGCACCCTGCGTGAAATTTCTCTTATGCTTTTCAATTCATTGTGAAAAGCACTTTGGTGGTCGAGAAACAAATGTAATCTCTTACTTTTGTCTATCAGCAAAAATTCTCTTCTAACCCAAACCTGACTCTCCAAGAGACGACTTCGAAAATTTCCCCACGCTTTACTACCACATAAACAATCAACTGATGTAACTAAAGGGGCAACCTTGCAAGCTGCGGAAACCGACCTTATGTTATTCTCCCCTAGGTGAGTCCTCAAAGGCTGTCTTAAAGGGGAGACTTAGACGTGAGATTCCTGCAGTTCTTTTGCGTGCCAGAAAAGCAAATGATTCCATGCCAAGGTCCAAAAGATGAGAGCCCTTTTATCTTTATTGTTTTGTCCAACGGACTTCTATCAGAAAAGGATCATGCCCAATGGATCACTTTGAAAATTTGTCACTCGTGCCTGTAAACAGGGGAATGTTATGGAATGGCAGCAAAGACAAATGGGATTGACCAAAACTTTTTTCCTAATCTGAACGAGTAAAGAACAAAAGTTGCACCAGTGAGAGTGCCTTGATTCAGTTGTATTGAGTTTCAGGACTAATCTATACTCTAAAATTTAATATGGCCTATGGTAGAGCCTGGACCTCTTAATAGTGTTGATTCAAGTGCAAGACTTTGATCAAAGTGGGGAATGATAGTGCTACAGTTGGAAACCGGATTTCTTTGATTTGAGACTGAAATATAAACATGGTCTCATCTGCTCCGGATGGGGCGAGTGGGCTTAGGTGATGTAAGTTTTAAGTCTCATGTAATAATGGCAGAAGCCCATGCATAATTGCATATGGATTATTTTGGTGAGAACTTGAGTTACTCGATTTTTGCAGCATTAACAGCCCATGGCTCTACTACAGTTAGGGCCCCAACTTCAGCTGAAGTTGGATCAAGCTTCAATTTACATTTGTCAAAGCACATGAAATAAAAATGATAAAACCCTTTCAGGTTTCAATATAACAGCTAACGATCGGTGACAACATCATAGAAAATCCAGGAATGTGGATTGAGGAAGCGGTTTAAAATTTGCATTGCCTCATATGTTGGATTGTTGCAATTATTTTTATGTAAGAAACGAGAACCATGTTTCTGGGCTTACGTTCTGTTCTTTTTTTCATTTTCCTTCCTTGCTGCGTTTCTAGTTTCCACACTGTACTTTTTATTTGTCCTGGTTGTTTGTTTTACCCACGGGTTGTAGTCTTTTCATGTCTTGGATGATCCGAAAGAAGCAACAATTCCAATTCCAATTCCAAAGAGTTAAAAGAGCCTTCTGTTTTTTCCTTACAACAAGTGGCAACCCTCCTCCTGCTCCGGCTCCTGCAACCATAAAATAAGAGAAGTACTCCCAATCATATATATTTTCATCTTTAACAAGAGTGGAAGTCCATTAATGCCAAGCAATAGAGCGACTGTGATACAGTTTAACCCTTAAAAGACTATAGCAAGAGCCTAATGCAAATAAATTTGACAGACCATATTTTATAAGACGAGTGCCAAATGAGTTGTTGAGAGAAAAAAAAGGGATGCCCAAAGTCTGCCACAAGTATGTATTAAGCTAATTTAAATGCAATGAGTTGCAACATCAGCAATTCCCAAGATCATGGAGCATTTGGATATCCAACCCATGCATAAACTCTCCACTGTGCTTACATTTTCCATCCTTTCACTATAATACAACTAGAGCAGCCTGACCAAAGAGGCTGAGCAAATACAAAGATGAAAGAAGAGGGAAAAAAGAGGACTCAGTTAGACCATGTTGAAACTGATACACAGGGGTGAACGCAAACCAAAAATTTACAGCCTCCAATAATTTTGCAGGTGGAGGAAACATGTTTGCATCCCCAGATGAAAAACAAAAGTTGCAAAATATTTCTTCTTCATCAAAATAAAACTCCTAGAATAATCACCAGATTTCTAGACTGCTATTTTTGAAATCTTCCATACACCTTTGATCACAGGCAGCAACCTCCTTCTGATATCTCCATCAGTTCAAACACCATATACCTTTGCTCCAAGAAATGACTGAAAAACAAAAATTTAAGATGTTTAAAGAAATTGATGCGAATTTCCACAAAAGCACAGAGTTAAGGAAACTATTGATACCCTGGGCAACTTTTCAGCTAACTTTTTACCAGAATAAGGAAATGAAGGCAATTTTTAGAAATGAGATACCCTGTAGTTGAGTCCTAATTTTAAAAGAAATGTTCAAAGCGCCTGGTGAAACAGTTCATTTCTCATCAAATCTGAATATTAGGCCTTTGAAGGTGGAAAGCTACAATGAGTAAGACGAACTAAGAATTCAGGGGACAAGTTATTCAGACATGGAATTTTATTAGTGAAAACAAGCGAGGGCACCTGAAAACAAAGTGCCAAATTTTGAAGGCAAGAAGTTTAATATGGACACGGGAATATTTTGAGTATTCAAGAACAATAAGAAAATCCCCAAAAGAAAAGAAAAAGAAAACCATCAAAGAAACTTAACAAAGAGAATTAACAATTAAAGTTCAGAAGAAAGAATAAGCTCTGTGCCAAGGAAATTCCAAGGAAAGGAAGCTGGAAAATGTATTAAATGATCATGAGGATAGAACCTTCCTGGTTTCTCCCCAGCATTGCTGACTCTCTTTTCTTCATTGGAAATTAGCTAGATTATGGATATTCAAACAATGAGTTTGGCTCCAAGATGCCCCAACAGTTAGACAACATGCTTTCACAGGTTACTGTTAATGTCCAAAGGAACAGGAATGTGAAGATAAGATTCATGTATTTGAAGCAATATGGGCAAGGATATTCAATATACCTTGATTCTAGAGGGAGTAGTAGAAGGCTTTGTTGGAGTTAAGGTTCCAAAGCCAAACTTCGGTTTCTTATCTGCAGGCTTTAATATTTGGAAAGAACACATTAATGTCTCATCCACGCTCATCATGGCAGCAGCATTGTCAAACTCTCCGCAGTAATTAGGTGCTGAAAATATGGTTACAAGTTGCCTATTGGCAAAGAATTCATATCCATCTTCAACAACCTGCGATAGATACCAGTTGATGAGAGAAAGGAAGCCGAGCTATAAGAATTTAGCAGCAAATGCTTCATGTAAAACGTATTTAAACCTGGTGTGCACGACATATTAAATCAAGATCAAGCTTCTTGAGGCAATCTATCACCCTATCAGCACCAAACGTATAGGAAACTCCCCTATCATTTGGCCCCCAGCCCGGAATGTCTTTACTAGGATCAGACCATAGGAGATCACATAGTAAGCCAGATTCTGGAACATCAGTAGGCCTCTTTAAATTTCTAATCTCGTCCAAATTGCGTAGCTCAGGCGAAAGTCCCCCATGCATGCAGAATATCTTTTCATCAATCAGAGCAGCCACAGGCAGGCAGTTGAAACAGTCGGTGAATACTTTCCAGAGCCTGACATTGAATCTTCTCTTACACTCATCATAAAATCCATAGATACGATTCACAGAAGCAGATTCGTGGTTGCCCCTGAGAAGGAAAAAGTTTTCAGGATATTTTATTTTGTATGCAAGGAGAAGGCATATTGTTTCCAGGCTTTGCTTTCCACGATCTACATAATCCCCCAAGAATAAGTAATTGGCACGAGGAGGGAAACCACCATTCTCAAAAAGCCTCAGGAGATCAGAATACTGACCATGAATATCTCCTGGATCATGAAAAGAAGCAGTACATAAGACATAAGTTCAGTATAAGTGACTTATGGGAGAGTAATATGCCTCTTCAGCATTTCAACGAGTGAATCCCCTGGTTTAGCCCTCAGTATAGAACTAATAAGCTTGGGAACTGCCAAGCACAATATATGACCAAAGTTTCAAACATTGATTTGCAGCAATAACGTGATCTCTCAAGCCAAAATCAATAACAGTCAACATAAAGCACTGAACAGAGAACAACTGAAAAGCCCTGTCCCTTGTTTAAGGTTTGAAGGTCACACATTGCAGATGATCTAAGTGCATTCAAATTGCCAGCACAATCTCCCAAGTCAGAAGCCAGAATTTAACAAAACAGCAAGGTTCATACTTTATGTGTCAATTATATAATAATAAAGTATGAACTACGAATCGAAACCCTACCCAAACATGACAATAGTAGCTGCCACCCTGCAATATAATTATTAAACCTGGCAAAAGAACTTCAAGCCTGACTCCAAAAAAACAGATGAAAACACATCTGAAACTTAAATTCATCCACATCCATCACTCAAATGAAGAATTTATGGACATATTCATCATCATTCAACACTCCAACATATAAGAAAATAAATTTAGAACTTTTCAGAGATAAATCACCCAAGTCACATCTAACACAAGAAATTTCCAAATTCAAACTCATAAACTGGTAGCAACCAACTGCGAAAGAATCAAATTTAACCATAACTATGAAGAGAGAGAGAAACTTAAAATTGAAAAAAAACAGAGTAAAAGAAGATACCACAGATCTTAATTGGTGCTTCAAGCTCTAGAAGAATGGGCTGCATCAAGAAGATATCTTTAGAAACCAGACAAAGCTGCCTTATTTCAGACTCGGAAAGCTGCACTTGCTTCCCCGGTTTCCCTCTAACTTCAAGCAACCTATTGATTATACCATCAAGAACTCGACGTTCCATAGCCCAACACCTTCCTCCTCTTATCCTCCAAAAAAAAAACTGATCAACTCCTTGGACCAAACAAGAAAAAGAAGAAGAAACAAGAAAGAAGAAGAATAACAGAAAGCCAAGAAGATAAAATAAAAGGCAAAGAGAAGGAATAAAGAAACAAAGAAGTCCACCACCGCCTACATGCTACGATCTTCTAATGAAAGTGAAAGAGAATATTTTGAGAAGGAAAGAAAAATGGGAAGTTCTTTTTTTTTTTTTAAACATGGAATGGTCGTTCTTGGTGCGCGGGGCTTTTTCCATTTATGTTCTTTATTTCTTTTGGTTTGCTTTTCTTGTTCATGCAGAAAAGAATGGTTGGTTGGTACCCTTTGGATTTAAAAGACAGCCACGAGAATATATTCTTGGTGTTCTTTCTTTTACAAATAATGAAATATAGAAAGGGAATGATGAGGAGAATAAGAAGAGAAGGTGTGGAGAATAGAAAAGAGATGATCACTCAAATGAAAAACAACAGAGAAAGCAAAAGAGTGTGCAAAGTAGGTGAACGAATGGACCCCCAATGGGAGATGAGATGAAGGAGGGTGACGCGTCAAAATGGGGAAATCGATTTGACTTGTTTAGGACGTTGAGGTTAGGGGGGGAGAGTAGGGGCAGGGAGGCTTGGCTTTGAAACCACGGGGCGGCAGAAACAGGTAATTTGGGCAACTTGCAAAAGCAGCACACAGCACACCAAAACGTAGCACGGAGCCGAGGGATTCCATTGTTTACTGGTTGTCGTTTGTTTTGATTTATTCCAATATGAGGCAAAGGAAGGTTGCCAACATGTTACATCTGTTGGAAATGTGAATTCCTTTTGTTTATTCTTATCACAAAAAGATGACTTCATTTAATTTTTCTAATTTTCAGAATGACTTTTTCAGTCAAAGGTTGCAAAACCTTCGCCAGAAGAACAAAAACTATAGTAATCTCAGCCCAATAAAAAATCCCTTTGAATAAAGTGGTCTAAACTGATTCAACTCAAATTGGTTAAGTAATTAGTAATCTAGCCTGCTCTTTTGTCTTCTCCATACTTCTCACAAGCTAATAGGTATATGAATGTCTTTTCATTTCATTAACTTTCTTTAGACTCTAAATTTGTGCAATTCACCCAGGCAAGCTACAAAAAATGGTCAATTTCCTTGAATTGTTAGCTATGCCAACAGATTCCTCTTGTTTTTCTAATTTTTTTAGTATTCTTGAAGCTAAATTTTGATTAAATTAAGTATATGATATATCTGTATCAATTTTTTTCCCTTCCTCATTGACTTTGTTTGTTAACTATGTTTCAGCACTAGGGTTACGTCATTTAACAATAAGTTAATTTATTTTTAAGGTTAGATTAGGATCATAGAGACTATGTCTATATTAAAAAAGGGGTGTATCATTGTCTTATCAAATGCATATATATCTTGGTCAAGAGATACAAGTGGGAAGGAAGACAAATAATGAATCGCAATATGAGTAATCACATCTATCTTTCTTTTTTTAGTGATTTGCAGTTGTCAAACACAGAATCAACAAGGCATCGGAAAATACCATTATTACCTATTGATTTCAGTGAGTCATCGAATAAATTAACTTTTGTTAATAATGATAACATTTTCATCAAGATTAAAAATGTTTTAAGGATGACTTCGAATAGATAAGAGCTACAAGTGCCAAGTCGTAAAAGCAGAAGGAAAAAAGTATGATTTGAAATTTATAATTATTTTAAGCAAAAAAGTTGATAACATATACCATTTTACACTAAGAAAGTTGATTTTGTGGACAGTGGTTTCCTTTCCCTTAGGTAAGCTGATTTGATCAATGACAAACTCCAACAAATAGGAGCAAAAACTATGATAAAGGAAACTATAGTAAAAGGATTTTTTTTATGAATTAAAATCAGATAAATGAATAATATGGTAGATGGCATTACAATAAATTTGGGTTTCAATTACTCTTTTTTTTATGTAATGAAATCTTGTCATAGATTTTTTGGGGGGAGAGAATAACCCTTTGGTTCAATCTTCCCAAAAGTGTTGCTGCTGAGGAGGGGAATAATTCTCTTGCAGGAAAGGCCTTAATCCCACGCCAAGATGATGACTCTTCATGGCTATTCCCACCACTTTCATTTCACGTAGCATCTATCGCAAAGAAGCCATTGTCGTACGGATTATTTTGTTGATAACCATAAAAGGAAAAAAGAAGTGCAAGTCTGGCCTGCAATTGGTAAGTGGACATGCTGTTCTAGTCAATTGGCTGGGCTTCAGTTGGAAATTTAAGCTCCATCGGTATCCAGCTGGTCTACTTTTTCAATGCTCTACAGATCGAGCATCATTCTGGGCATTCGTGATCCATTAATGTAAACACCCATGTGACCCAATCCTCGTTTTGCACCATCATCGAAGAGACGAGAGGCGAAGAGATGCACTCAGAAACATACTGGCGGGTGTTATTGCTGCTTCTTGGGGCGCTGCTCTTCACCACTCAATTATTTGTTGATCACACCCCAGACCCAGAGGCCTCCAGGCTCCAGCGTAGGAAAGTTGTTTTGAGCAAAACTCACTGACACTAACCCTGGATGGTAAACCTAATAGGCCACCACCAACCTTACTTGATGAAGAGGAGAAGACAATATTCCCCGAATAGAAGCCACGGCCTGGACACAAACCTCCTGTTAAATATGTGTTGAAGATTTACACAAACCCATTGGAAAAACCACCCCATCAGCCTCCCAACATCAAATCAACTACTTAATTATTATACAGAAATAGAATCAATGATGTAAATCTATGTGGGGTAGAAATTAAGAGCTGCGCGCTAGTGATTATCGATCCGAACCTTGAATTTACTATACAAGGATCGGTTTCCTTCTGGTACCAAGGTGCTTCTAGTAACGGTAGCTATTGTACTTTGTTTGTAACAGCTAATAATCATGGACATGCATTTTACTTTTATTGTATAAAATTTGTTGTTCATATATAGCTATGGTGCCATCGAGAAAAATTTTCGGAGTATGGGTAAATCTTGAAAATATTTTTGAAAGAGGAGAAGAGATTAGCCGGAAAATTTATCGCTTACATGTGTCTTTCAGTGTTTTACCTCATTCAACAGCGTTATTAATCCTTTTCTCAAGCCATATCAATCAAACACACACGTTTCTTAGGTTTTTTTTTTTTAATATGGATGGGCTTGAGCAGGTAAAATTGGGCTTGATCTAACTTGGGGTGGATCCATTCAAATAAAAATCTCCTTTGTTAGTATTCAACCAGGGAAACAGAGGCCTCATGCAGAAAGACACATGTCGTGCAATTACAGGTCCTGATCCACTTAAATATACCACGTCAGTTCTTCCAAATCTGCGCCATCCTCTCTAGAGTCTTGGATCCAGCACTGCATAGGCCGAAAATATGCAATCCAAAACCTACTAGCTGGCGTGGCTCCTCCTTCTGGTCCTCTTCACTACTTCATCTCTTCATGATCGTTACCGCATCGGCAAGCCGTCAATAATTCCCAGTCGGAGACCGGCAGAGGAGACTAGTCTTGCTGAACAAAACTCACCAAACTTGGACAGTGGTAAGCCAACAAGTTCAGGGCTAGGGCAAACTCCTCCAAAGAAGCCACCCCGAGGGCCTCCGCTACCAAACTGAGAAATATATATAAGTTTATACATATGTGATATGTACGGTAGAAATAACAAAATAAGACAATTTCGCTCTCTTCTCTTTGAGTGCTGACTCAGTACTCAGTATGCTATCCATGCTTGGATCCTTGCCTTTCTGGTCGTGCTGCATCCAGTTTGATTGCTTTTCTTGTGTAAAATCTCCTCTGTTGTAACATATGGAAATTATGGTGTGTACTTTTTATACATGATGATTCGCCCCTTAATTTCTTCCCGCTGTGGATTTTTTCACCGTATTAGCAACATTAGTTTTTTGAAACAAGTTGGAAAGTATTAGAAGGATTTTAATATATATATATATATATATATATAAAGTTTCAAAATTATATTAATTAATTTTATCTATATATCGAGCTAATATTATTAGCCTCGATAGTACATACATCTTTTATGGAGTTAGCTTAATTTTTAAGTTTTTGGTACAAGTTTCTTTTTAAATTTTTAAAATAGTTACAATTCATAGGATGATACAATTAAGATTTTTTCTTTTAATTTGAAATATTTTGATATTATGATACTTCTTGGATTTCATCTCATTACTAATATTTGAGATTAACTTTTTCCTATCATTAAGACAATTATTCATTAATTATTTCTTAAATTTTTGAAATTAAAAAATGGCCATCGGATCAATGGATTATGTCGGTCAGGGCTTATGCTATTCGAATTGCATAAAAAATAATTACTACGAATACGTAAAGTGTTAGATTTTTTTTTATGAAATTAAAGTGTGGACTTACATTTTTTTTTTGTTTTTTATTAAAATCAAGTTCAAATAATTAGTTTTTAAAAATTGATAATATTATAATTTATTATATGATTTAATAAAATGAGTTGGACTTCAATATTAAATGCAGGCTCAAGACGGTAAACTTGTGTAAAAAAATTTAAAGCTTATAATAGGTAGAAGTAAAAATTCACTATATAAAATTATGGTTAGGTCTCCTCTCCTATCAATACACAACAAATCCATTAGAGGATTATTAAAAAATAAAAAAAAATCCTAGGGCATTAAATACCATCAATTAATCTAATTAGTATTGTTTTTGTTTTCTAATTATATATCAAGAATCAAATATAATTTTTTTATTTTAAATTTTAGTTATGTAAATTTTGAATTAGTATAAATTAATTATGTATAAAGTTTAACATAAAATTAGGCAATAAAAAAATATAAATGAGATTATCTCAAAAAGCAGTTAGACCAAAAAAAATGTTGAACTTGAAAATCTAGTTAGATTATATATATCATTAGTTTTGTTATCAGGCGTACTTCAAGCGAAATATACATATATAAAGAATGTGCTATATAATTAGCATGGGGACGTAAAATTATTAAGGTGAAAAACTAGGCTAATAATCATGTAATCTAGTTAATATTTTCTGAAAACAACCTTAATATATTAAGCTATTAAGCTATCATTCATCAACAAAGTTTTATTTAAAGCAAAACTCAATATTTTCCTTTAATTTTTGTGATGGAGACTTGCCAGTTTATGATATACTAACATATGGAAATTAAATAAAAAGATACGCAAAAAGTCTTGAGAAAAGAAAATCCGTCATGGTTATGTATGCTTATCGAAATTGCTTTATTTTGAATTGTCTTTTTCTGTCCATTTTTTCTCAAATCATCGAGCCATCACACTGTGAGATGGAAGAAGACAGTACAGCTTAAAATTACAAACAATTTGACTAAAAATTATTCTGAACGGTTGAATATGATAAGAAAAGGTCCGTGCATAATCTACTTTTAGTCCTAATTCTAATTGATGGAAATGTACATAACATCATGGACATGTTTGATTCGCGAAATAGATAAAAATAAATAAAATAATTATTTTGTAAAAATAAAATAAAATAATTATTACGTAGTTTGATACAATAAATTAAATAAGATAAGAATAGTTATTATGATACGTTACTGTGTTTGGTTGATAAAAACAACCTTAATAGTTATGTCTTGTAATATTTGTAGTTGTAACCCTTTTATGCAGGGGTGAAACTTTGCACAACCCTCAAAATTTTTAAAATCTTGTATATATTATATATGTTTTTATCTTTTTTTAAGTATATATTTTTTGTTTTAATGATCTCTTAAAAATTTTTATGTATTTTTATCTTTTTTAAGCTCCACTCCTGCTTTTATGTATTTGTTAAAACATTATCTTATTAACAGAATAGATGCCAAATTAATGTTTATGGTGAGAAGTTATTTCTGTGTTTGAAGATTCAATGTGGAATGGATCACATCACCTGACGATCGAGAGCGACTCGAGTCCAAAATACGCTGTGAAAACTAAGGAGAAATATGCTGCATGTTGAGGCCTGCAGAAGGCTGGTGAAGTAGGGAGATCCATCATGTGCCAAGGGAAGCAAATGAGCTTGCAAATCAATTGGAAAAAAATGGCGTTAAAAGGAATCAAACGCTATGGATGAACTTGAATGAAATGGTCGAAGGCAGTGATTGTCCTTGAGATAATTTACGTTTGTTTTTGTTGTTGTGACTTATTGCAAATGGCTGCTTGGGTGGCAGGGGCGGACCTACTCTAAACAAGTGATACAGGTGGTTGTGTATAGGGGACTTTTATTGCAAGTCTGGCCTACAACTGGGTAAGTGGACATGTTGTTTGAGCCAATTAGATGGGCTTCAGTGGGAAATTTAAGCTCGATAAGTATCCATCTGGGCTTGGACAAAGTCCATCAAAGCCTTGGCCAACATAAATTTTTATTTTAAGATTTCATATTTTCAAACTCTTTCCTTTAGCTGCCGAGCAAGCGAGAGGCCTTGAGAGATTTGATAAGATTATATTCCGTCACCATTCACCCAGTTGCCTGCCTCAGCTGCAACTCACGCCTACTAAAAGCCCAACATTTCAACTGAGTGGATTCCAGGCATCACTCGTATGATTGGAACAATAATGAGATAAACTTGGATCGGCGGACACCCGGCAGGCCTTCAGTGGAGGAGACTACTTCTGTGGAAACTCCACCAAACTTGGACCGTAGGGCAAGCTCCGAGGAAGCCACCTCGCACTCCACTATATATCAAACTGATAATATGTATATATATATAATATACGGTAGAAATAACAAAATAAGACGAGAGCATGCACTATCTTCTTTTTGATTTCTGTCTCAGTAATCAGTATGCAATCCCATGCTTGGCTCGCTGCCTTTCTAGTGCTACTAGTATTACAAAAGTTGGCAACCTTTCTTGGCTTGTAGCCAAAGCCAAAGGTTAACGAAATTCATTTATTTCGAACCGTCCTTTTCTGCCCATTTTTCTCAAATCATGCATCTAACGAATCGTGCCATTAAAATGTGAGATTAAAGAGTACATACTGAATGTTTTGACCAAAAGGAGCATGTCGTGGAAAAATCATATGAACGGTTGAATATAATCATACAAAGAAAAAGTTACACTTAGTAGGATAATTTCTGCATGTTGCGGCCCTGTGGGTGCGTAATCTACTTTTAATCACCTGTTAGTGTCATCTCATCCAACAGGGCTATGCCCATCCATATATATTAAAAAATTTCTCTTTGTATTTATTTTTTAATATAGATGAATTTGTTACAATGGGAGAGGAGAGCCAATAATAATGATTGGCATACATGTCGGTAGGAAGGAACGTGTAAAGACATGAATCTCGACAACCCAACTTCTGCACCAAAAGAAGTCTGCAATTTTTATATGATAATACTGGTAATATGGCAAAACGACAAATTAAGCTTGTAGTAACGCTCTCCAAGGAACTACCCCAAATCGAGATTATTATTCTTTTCTTATCTCTTTCTTGTAGTCTTTCTTTCCGTCAAGCCGAGACTTAGTGGGTGCATGACTTAATATTATTTTATGACAAAAGTTTGTAACTTTTCCAAAGTTTCGACAGTTCACACCGTTTTGTCAAAAATATCTCGAGAAAAAAACTACACTCCTGTCTAAAGGCATTTAATGGTTGCAATTAAAAAATGTGCAGACTGTTTTTACCTCTCTCGCTTTCTTCTTATTTCAAGCAACCATAGCTAGTTGATTTTGAACTTAGTTAACTAAAAACTGTGGCGTTTTTAGTCGTCTCACAGCTCGATATTGTATTTGATTTCATCAGAATTGATTACTGGGGCATGCCCTCATTCAAGATTTCACATTGAATCTTAAATCTATGTTTGTCTAAATTCTTGCCAAGGAGCTTGATGCATTCAATGTGAAGATCAAGCTCCGGTTATCGAATCTCTTTCTAAGCTTGGCTGGTTGTTAACTCTCCTACCAAAAGGAAATGTGAATGGGGAGCACTAGTAAGTTTGTCAAACATTTCAACCGGACATGGGACCCGAAGTCGGATCCATTTGCATTTGTATACTATCCTTGGAAAAGCATCTCTTGCTTTGAGGTTTATCTAGTGCACTATGAAATCAAGAATCTAGTGCAAAAGTAAAGGGCAAATGTAGAATTGCGTGAGTATGAGGTGACAACATAGCTCCAGCCCTTCCGTCCATTATAAAAGGGCACCAAGTGATCCAGTTTTGAACCACAGCAGAACCCAAAGTTCCCAAATTAAGATGTCTAAAGCTTTCTTGCTTCTGTTTCTCCTTGGAGTGGTGGTTCTTATGATCACCACTCCTTCTCTAGCTAATCAACCCCATGATAATGAGCCTTACAAGGGTAATGGAGGCAAGCCTTTCCCTGGTCAAAAGCCACCAACACACCCTGGTGAGAAAGGTAAGGGAAAGAAGCCACCAGTACATGGGGAAAAACCTCCTCACAGACACCTCCTGAGTGAGGATGTTGAGGACACACACAAACCTCCAAAAACCCCAGGCGGTAAACCACCCAAGGCTAAGGGAGAGAAGCCTCCACATGAAAATGAACTCCCCCATGGTAAACCACCCAAGAAGCCATTCCCTGGTGACAAACCGCCTAAGGGTAAGGGCAAGGAGCCACCCCATGACCACAAACCTCCTCACAGACGCCTCTTAGGAGAGAATGCTGAGGACTCCCACGAGCCACCAAGATTTTCCGGGGGTAAACCACCCAAGGGCAAGGGAGAGACGCCTCCACATGGACATGAATTGCCAAACGGTAAAGAACCCAAGAAGCCATTCCCAGGTGACAAACCGCCTACAGGTGAGGGAAAGGAGCCACCCCATGACCACAAACCTCCTCACAGACGCCTCCTAGGTGAGGATGTTGAGGACTCCGACAAGCCACCCAGATTTTCAGGTGGTAAACCACCCAAGGGCAAGGGAGAGAAGCCTCCACATGGACATGAATTGCCAAATGGTAAAGAACCCAAGAAGCCATTCCCAGGTGACAAACCGCCTAAGGGTGAGGGAAAGGAGCCACCCCATGACCACAAACCTCCTCACAGACGCCTCCTAGGTGAGGACGTTGAGGACTCGCACAAGCCACCAATATTTTCCGGTGGTAAACCACCCAAGGGTAAGGGGGAGACGCCTCCACTTGAGCACAAACCACCCCAAGAACGTCACCCAGGACAGGGAACTGAGGCCTCGCGCAAGCCACCGATCAATAAGTTGAAGCCAAAAGTGCCACCCTATAAACCACCCCACAAGCCTCCACACGGCAACTAAATTAATTAGTACCTAAAATTAGAAGATCATCAGCCTGATACCGCTAGTTTATCGCACAAATAAGAGCTGATGGAGAGTTACCTTTCATTAGTAGTCTCTAGCTAGTTACGTGTATATCCACGTTGGCCAAGTCCTATGCTTTATTTATTCATGACTTGGGAGGCCATGTCCATGGAGTTATGCAGATTGTACTTTGTTGTGTCAGTAACTCCTGCGTCGTCTATGGTTTATCTGTTGTTTGTATGATATGGATTTTCTACTTTATTCACTATTTTGGGATCTTCTGATTTAATTTTCGTGTTTCACCCACTGTGCTTTCGCCGCTTTCAGATTTTGGATTTTGGGTGGACAAAAAACAAAAGCTTGCACTCGTCGCCTTCCAAATGTTCCTATCGAACTGATGAAATTTTGTGAACTTTGACTGCCAGGGTATGATGGGAATTCGAAATATAATAATCTAAAATTAAACTGATGATGTTTCATATACAATCAAAGTAATCAATTTATTGCTTTTTTACCCATTTCCAAATTTACGCTGTTTTCTTTTTTATATATAAAGTATGCAATCAAAGAAAAATAAGTGATTCATTGGCTAGCTCGTTCCTCAAATCCCTGTTGAATTTTGAGGAAGTACGTAGAAATAGAAGAAAAACTCAACTACAGTTCTAAGAGACGTGGACCGTGACCCTGAGTCAAGACAAAAGGGATCGCTAGCGAACGTGTTGGCCGGTGACTCTGAGTCATTAGCTGGCCCGCAACTCCTTGAAGTTGACTTCAGTACCTCAGATTCTCAGGAGAACTTTCCCACCTTCCTTTCTTCTCTATTTTTTTTTTTGGTTTCTTTTTTGGCGTTTTGTCTTTATTTCTCTCCAACAGAGAGAGAGTCAAGTAGCTGAAAATTGAAATGAAAGGGGCCAACAATAAAAAAAAAATACCCAGCAGCATTATGCACGTTGTAAGTCTGAACTAGTTGAAAAAGCAGCAAAAAAAAAGGTAATTTCCTTTTACTTGTTGAATTGTTCCTAAAGATGCTAAAATTCCAAAGACAAAAATCTATAATGACCCAAGTGATCATATGTTCCAATTAAAGCTTTAATGCTATAGTATGGCTAGAAAAAAAATTGAAAAATAGTGCATGAATTTTTGTGTTCATTGCTAGAGAGATTCTAATAAAACACAATAATTATTTCAGTTAACAAAATGCGATTTTCTCCTGAAATTGAAGTAATTAAGAGATAAGAAAATATCTCGGTTAGTGGGTGATCTTAGGTGATAACGTGCAAATTGTCGACGTAAACACATCTATGACTCGATTTTGCACTATAATGATACTATGAAAAAAACTCTAAATTTCAACATATGCCATTAGACAATTTATGCAACATTATTAAATAACTCTTCAACTTGATTTTGGAGTACTATTTAATTTTGACCACTTCATACAAAAAAAAAAAAGGAAAATCAAAATCTAATATACGTTTGAATCTGTGGTGCAACATCCTATTCTACACCTCTTTGTTGTGATTAAAGGGATTTGATAAGTTAATTCACCATTTCGAGTAGGATTGCACTCCATTGAAATTAAAGGAGAAATATGAACAGAATCAACGTGCCAACACGCAGAAACAGAAGCACTAGGCAGAACTTCTTAAAATAGACGGAAGTTAATCACTTGGCTGCAGGCTTATTGTAAGGAAAAGAAATTAAATTTGAATGGACTAAATGTGCCAGGAATTTGGTTTTCCGTTTTCTCTCAATGGAAAACAAGAAAATCGCTTTGTGAGGAGCAAATTATTATGAATAACCTTCCTTAATAAAAGTATTTTAAAAATAATTTTTAAAATAAATTTAACTGTTTTTAATCATATTTAATCATGACTTGATAAAAATACCCTTAAAATTATTTTAAATAAATTAAACAATTCATCATAATTTTTCTCCATTTATGCTTCCAATTTCTCTCTCACAATCCTACTCTCTTTACTTTTATCGATTTCTCTCTTCGACATTTATCTGCTATGCTCAGCTCTCGAATTCTCTCTCTCATGCTTTTAGATTTCTCTTTCCTGTGCTTTCAAGACACCAAGCGATGGTTTTGATGTGCTTGGATGGATGGTTATTTAAAGAATTTGATTTTTAAGTATTTTGAATAAAATTAAAACTGTTGAAATGATCATAGATGTTTGAAATACCTTTTAATTGGATCAATTTGAGACCTAGACACCAATAAACTCAAGAATTTAAAATTTTTAAACCTAAGTTTTCAAAAGAATTTTTTTTATTTTTAGTCAAAATAGGTGTTTTAGATAATAAAATTTATGTTTTGATTTTTGAAAACATGTTACTAATACTTTAATCGGTGCCGAATTATAAAAAAAAAAGAAGAAATGAAAAGCGTTGAGAGGATTTAAAATTTTAGTTCGTAAGTAATAATAACATTTTAGGTATTAAAGTGTAATAAAATATTTTTAATATAGCGTGTAACAATATTTTCTCAACATAGAATTTAACAACAATATTTTTTCTCAACATGGCGTGTAACATTATTTTCAACTATTATACGTAAAATGTTTTTGTGCATGACGTGTAACAACAATATTTTTTTTAACATAATATGTAACAATCTAACCATAACATGTAACATATTTTTATATATGACGTGTAATAATAGTATCTTTTTTCAAAATGACGTGTAACATATTTTTGTACATAGCGTGTAACATCATGGCGTGTAATTTCATTAAAGATAATTTTTTCCAATTTAGTTAAAACCAATTAAAATTATCTTAAAAGTTATTTTTGATAATATTTTATCTTTAAGAATTATTTTAAAAAATGTGCCAATTTGTTAGCTTCTCTTCTTTTGAGCACTATGTGAACTGTGAACTGAAAATCTGTATTAATTAATTAAACAGTTAGCTAAAACTACAGACTAAGCTAGCTTGCCAAATGCTCAATGACATGAGTGGTGACGATAAAGCTACGCTTCCATCCAGTATAAATGGCCGCTAGTTGTTCACGTTCTTCGCCACAAAAACAAGCTACAGATTTTCCAATAACAATGTCTAAAGCTTACTTGCTTCTGTTTTTACTTGGAGTGATAGTGATGGCTCTTCTCACCACTCCATCCCCATCTCTTGCTTATAATGGGCCTCCCGAGGAAGACGAGCCATTTCCAGAGCGCAAACCACCAATTCTCCCTGGTTATGTACCACCAAAATTTATCCCTGGTGCTGAACCACTGCCACCTAAGAAAGAGGAGCCACCAATACGCCCAGGTGATAATAAGCCAGTACCCCAACGACACCTTTCGGAAGACGGCGGCGTTGAGGAATTGCACAGCTCACCCTGCAAGCCACTTGACAAACCACCAAAGGGCAAGGGAAAGAAGCCACCGCATGATGGTCATCACCCAGCGGGACACCTTCTGGCAGAGCAAGTACTTGAGAACAAAGAAGTGCTCCAGCCACCACGCAAGTTGCGTCCACCAGTGCCTCCACAAGAGCCACCTCAGGAGCCTCCACGTGGGCCACCCCACGTGCCTCCGCGTGAACCACCCCACCAGCCTCCTGACCAACCGCCCGTTGGGCCTCCACATGATGAACCACCACACCAGCCGCCT